TTTTTAGGGACCCTCTGCACAGCCACATCAGTCAACTGCTTATCTACACCCTGCCAGAACGGCGCCACCTGTGTGGACACCATGGATGACTATGCCTGTATCTGTGCTAGAGAAGGTTTGCGGTACATGGGCAAAAACTGTGATGAACTGTATGACGCCTGCTCCTTTGCTCCATGTGAAGACTGCACCAGCACTCCTGGCACCACAGAATACCACTGCATTTGCCCGGATGGAATGACAGGCGACAACTGCACAGAGGAGGTGGATGAGTGTCAGAGCAACCCTTGCTCTGAGCCCCGGCTTCTGTGTGTGGACCAGATGAACGGGTACTTTTGCAGGTGTCCTGCTGGCTACGGCGGACGGGACTGCAGGACACATGTGACAGACTGCATTGATGAACCCTGCAGGAACAATGGGACTTGTGTATTGCGACCTGAAGGCTTTGAATGCCACTGTGCAGCAGGATTTGAAGGGAAGACCTGTGAGGAAGATATAAACGAGTGTTCATCAGAGCCCTGTCAGAACGGTGCTATCTGCATAGATGGAGTGGGAGAGTTTCACTGCTTCTGCGTGCCTGGTTTTCAAGGCTACAACTGTGAAATCGACATCAATGAGTGTGCTTCACGACCCTGTGAGAACAACGCTACCTGCATCAATGAGAAGGACCACTACGAGTGTGAGTGCCTGGTGGGATTTGCAGGTACGGCCACGTCACATGCACACAGTTGTTTTTCAGAAGACATTGTCTTGACTTCCATTTATTTCCTGGGATCTTACTCTAACCTGAAGTAATTCTTACTACACCCAATCCTAACCGTACCCTGAATTTAAAACGTAAATTACCAAATTCAGTGATTTACATTATGGGCAACTGTATTGTCCCCATAAAGGAGACAAGACACTACAGTATGACTCTAAACACACAAAATGAGAACTACCCACCCACTCACATACACAGACACATGTGGCGAGGTTAGACCAAGGTGGGAGTGGGGCGTAGGAGAGAGTAATACGTGAGCTGTACCAGTATCTAGAGAACCCGACAACGCCACCTGGGGACTCTCACTCCAGGAACTACAAGTTAAATGTAAACTACCACAATTAGTCACACAAGTCACATAGGTCACACAAGTTTGTTTGCTGAGAGAAGACAGAGACGTGGTTCAAATCCAAAGAAATTGCCGTTTATTGAATATTTGTTGGAATGACTGATAAGTAGCTAGATTTCTGGAGTGTCTGCTGGAAGAGCAACCTAAAAGCCAATACAAAAACAAATCAAACCACCGAAATGCACAAAGATATTTATTTCATTAATGTAATTCTGTTTAACAATAAAATTATTGTAAAAAAGAGACACTTCCAAAATAAAATTAACCCAGGGAGAGCAAAGTGGATGGAAGCCAGCGGGGGGAGAGAGGTGGCCAATTACTTAAATGTCGAGGTGTGAAACAAACCACCAACCACTCGTGAGCGCACAGCAGTCCGTCAGGACTACCACGCTGATGTAAGATCAGATGCCCCAGTGCTCTTACCACTACAAGCTGTGAAGAAGAAACCACACAACGCCCAACTTCCACCACCAGCCGGCAACCTTGTCCACCAGCTNGCAAAATGAACTGTTTAACTTCCTTGACAAGAAAAACTGGAATGTTGTCATAACCAGCTGATGATGCCTTCAATTCATTAACTAAATCACCATTATTATTATTATTATAATTATGGGATAATTTCTTGGTATAAAGTCCAAGAGACTTCCTGAGCAAGATGGAATTTTTCTTCAGTGGTCGTATATGAGGCTTTAGGTGGCATGGTCTCAGGTCTGGAAGGCCTATTAGGCTTAGGTGGCAAAGAGTAGTAGAGTAGGATCCAAACTTCATTTAAGAACAGATAAAGTTCCAAATCTGAACTGATATAGCTGGAAATATTTATCTTGAGTAGATTACCAGCAGAAACACTTGGCTTTCATGAGGATTCAAGAGATTTTTGCAGGATTCTCTGCTGCAGGATTCTCTGTTGCTGCTGGCAGGAAGGACACAAGGTCATTATTAGCTCTGATCTTCCACTTGTTCCTGGAAAAACCCTGAATTACGGGCAACTTTTACAACAACTAAAAAGTGTGAACGTGTTGCATATTTCTTCACGGGTTTATTCTATTAATATTCTTTTGCTCTTGCTGCTCCTACATCCCCCCCTCCCCTCTGGAAGTCCCTTCACTGTTAATATCTTCCACTTCAGTGAAAATTTGGAAACAGGACACTGATCAAAGTGTTGGGGCTGTGAGGCTGGATGGGGGTATTTTGAATGGGGAGCTGAGATTGGCTTAATAAGAGGAATGTGGACTGATTCCACAGAAACCTCCCGGCATTGGCTGGTGAGAGCAGACAGCACATGTATTGTGAAACTTCACTAAAGTACCCCGCCTACTTTGACGTCCACTTTGTGAGATGACATACAAAGCGGCTCCACAAGCTCACAGAGTGGCTATTCATAGAGGTTAATGCACAGTACAGTCATTATTTGCATTGTGCTACAAGCTAATTGCAACGGGAAACCCAATTGTAGCTGATAAAAGACACAGTCCAGTGGGCTAGCCCTGTGTTAATTAACAGCAAAACTTTGTGAAACAAGACTCAAAACCCCCAGTAGTAATCTTTAGAGGCCATGGATAGATAATGAGACAATGGGCCCCTGAGCACCAACTTCACTCTACAACCCTGTTTCCTAGAAATTTCTCTACAACTCAATTGTTTGTTTTCCAGATAAATGTAGCAGTAGTGGATGTTCTCAGGTTCTTAACTCTCCCAAGACTTCCAGACTTCCCGATGTGGTTCAGGCAACAAGAACACTTTGGTCAAGGTTAGGGAGAGATAATGATTTTGATTAACTCTATTACTATATGACTTCATCATTAAGAAATTAAACAAGCATCAAATGAAAAATATAAACATCACTTGACCTCTTAACTTTACATGCTGTCTGTGAATCTCAAAAGCTTTTAACTGAATCTCAAACAGTCCAATTGTTGTTTTCCTAAGCTCACAAGTTCATTGGCCCCTGCAGTGTCACTGTGAAATAAATAAGCCATGCCATGAAATACTTTAAAAAGGTCTTCAAAGCAACAAATATAAAGATTTTTTTAAAAGCCCACCTCCAAATAGATGCATGTTAATATACATGTTGAAGTTAAGGTTTCTTTGTTGGTACCCAAGGGGTGAAGACAGACAAGGTACAGCAATCCAGAAAGAAAAAAAAACAGAGAGCAACACAACATTAATTGAAAAGAGGACATTACAATTCAACCAACAGACACTCACAATCAGGCTCAGTACAATACATTACAATACTAGGCAGCATACAGCCTCATCAAGTGCTGTACCGACCCCCTATGCACCCACTTCTCCCACAGGTAACCAAGCAATACAGAGACAGATGACCAAGCTGGGTCACAC